GGGTTAGGGTTAGGGTTAACAGAAATCAAGTTAGCTTGAGACTAGAATTGAAATGCCAGAATCACAGACTTGAGTCCCTTATTTAAACCTCTTCCAAGTTCCTGAAGATGGCATGGTTTTTCTTTTTAATTTTTTTTTTTAAAGTATGGACTATCACGGGGAGAGAGAGAGAGAGAGAGAGAGAGAGAGAGAGAGAGAGAGAGAAATGAGAAGATGTATATCAGTTCTGAAACCAATGATTAATTTCTATGAATAAAAAAACTTTCTTTCCTAACCAGCATTCCATCTGAGGTAATAATGACACATTCTCTTTTTTAAAAAATTAAATATTGAGGTAGCATTTAAATTAAATATGGAGATGGCGAGAGGAATAAAGGGAGGTGGCATTGGTTAATAGGATCATATAGACTTCAGGTATACATTTCTATGATACATGATCTGTATATTGCATCATGTGTCCACCAACCAAAGTCAAATCTATCTTCTATCACCAAATATTTGACCTCATCTTCCCAGGTGAAATGCTGGTTAGGAAGGAAAGTTTTTTATATACAGAGAAATTAATCATTGGTCTCAGAACTGATATACATCTTCTCATCTCTCTCCTTTCTTCCTTCCCTCTCGCCCCACCCCTCGCTTTCTCCCTTTCTTCCTCTATCCATCTCCATCTGCAGCTCTATCATTTCCTCTATTTCAAGGAAGAATATTCATGTCAGATATTTGTGAAAATCATAAATATTATTGGCCAGTTCAGTCGTCTTCTCTGTTTTGGGTGATTTAAATCATGCATAGTAATACTAGAATTTCTTAGCTGTTGACAGATGAGTAAGACTCAGATTGTGTACTTCATAAGAACTACAGGGGAGTTCCCAAGAGCTACAAATTCTGCAAAACAGATCCCTTAAGTAAATAATGGAAAATGATAGTTTATTTTAAGTCCTTTGAAAAGTTGAAAAATGATGCAAATGGAAAGGGCTCATCTGTTCTTAGTCAGCTTTTGACCTTTGACTATATAAACACAAAAAACACATGAGCTCGATAGAGCTAGGAAACAGCGTTACTTCCCTCCTATCCACAAGAACGAAATGAATCTTTCCATTGAGTTTTACAGAGATATACTGTACAAACTTTTCATTCAGAGAACAAACATTGAATATCTTTCATATGCCAGGCACATTGCAAATTGTTGAACTGAACAGGTAGGGAAGGGCAGGTGTCTGCACCTATGGAGGTTATAATTGTGTGGTAAATGTGGTAATGAAAGCGGAGGCAGGCATATTTAGGGAAGCTATCGTGAGCACTAATCTAGACTAAAAAGTTAGAGAAGGCCCTAACAGAATCTAACAAAAGCATACACACCAGATTCAAAGAATCCATGCCAAATCAGTTAGTATCGTCCACTTTTAGTGTGTATGTGTTTAATCAGTGATATAATTTGGTTTTAGTTGTAGAATAACTGTCAGTACAGTGTTGTGTGCATAACTGTATTGGGTTTATATGTATTTAGGTAACTTCATAATAAAATAATTTAAATCAGCACCGAGGACCAGAATATTTTCCCCTTTTAAAAGGAAATACTGCAGGCAATTTTGGAGAATATAAAGACAAAACAAAGGAAAGGGAACCAGAGTGTTTGGTTTCTATTTCTAGCTCACTGGCTGGCAGCCCTCTGTGACCTGAATTCCATAATTTGTAAAATATGATTCATCAGGAGTTGCAATGGAATATTTTAGAATGTTTAAATTAATGAGGAAAAAAATCCCAAAAACCCTTGCGATGCTGTGAAAGTTCCAGAAATTATTCATAATTATCTCTTTGTTATAGCAAACAAAATGGGCAAAATAAAGGGGGTGGATAACAGGGCATGAAACACAAGAAAGCAGAGGAGGGAAAAATCAGGAGGCAGTGAGCGGCTGGCAAACGCTCCACAGCAGGGAAAAAGGTCTGTGCATATTACAGCTGTAACTGAGTAAGTACTTACTGGAACTTCCAGAGATGACCAAACACCAAGAAGGAAGTGATTTTTTTAAAAAGTTTTATTATGGAAAAATTCTAACACCCACGAAAGTACCGAGAATAGTAATGAGAACTACCACGCAGCCTCAACAATCACTCATGCCCGACAGTCCTATGTCATTTCTATCTCCCGCCCCCCTTGATCTGAAGCAAACTCCAGATATCATATTATTTCACCCTTAAGTAAGTCGGCAAGCATCTTCAAAGCAAAAGAAGGAGAACTAAGGCACTTGGGGGAGGGAGGGTCTATGCCTAGCTCACCCGGTGACAGCCCTTTGCATCTTCAATTCCATAATTTGTAAAGTGATTTGTAGGTAGGGGTTGAAACGGATTTTTTTTTTTTTAAGTAACCACAGTAAAAAAAAAAAAAAAAAAAAAAAAAAAAAAAAAAAAAAGGAGGTGAATTACATCCTAATAAGGCTCTCCAGAAGGGCATCTCACCCCATAAATCCAGGTCCCGGCTCCATTCCCCCAAGAGCCTAAAGCGCACTTCCTTTCAAGGCTGGGACCCCAGCGCAGCCGGCCAGACCTGGCCTTTTAGGGCGCTGGCTGGCCCTCGCCCCGCCCCTCGCTCCGGGGAGGCCCCGCCCCCTGGGTCCCAGCAGCCCCCGCGCGCCCGCGCGTGCCCCCGCGGTCCCGGCGAAGGGAGCGGCCCGCGGCGCCGGACGCTCTGGGCCTGACGCCGGAGCGCGCACGCACGCCGTGCGTCCCGGGCTCGCCGGGCCGGGGAGCTGCGGGAAAGACTGACAGTTTGGTCCGCCATGTTCTCCACCGCGGCGTTCCGGGCCCGGACGGCTGGCCTCGCCGCCCAGTGGGTAAGGAGGCTCGGAAGGAGCCCGGGCACTGGCGCCGCTCTTCTCCCTCTCTCCTCGCCTCTCTCTGGTCGTGAGCGCCCGAGAGCCCTGAGCTCTCCGGACAAGCCTTAGGGCGGCGGCAAGGGCACCGCGGCCTTCGCCCTCCCCCCGGAGAGGGTGCTGCAGCGGGGAGCTCCGAGGGAGGGTCGGCACGTTTAACCGAGGCGGGTGCGCGGCCGCCTCTGCAGGCCTGGGGAGTGCACGCCTGGTGTTGTGAGGAGGAGGATGGAGGAGGGGCCGCTCGTCGGTGTTCTGTTCGGTCCTGCACTCGGGCGCCTGCGTGGGCCTGCTCTGTGTGCAGCGCCCGAGCTCCCGCTGGGGGCGGCCTGCACGGCGAGCCCGGTGACCTTGGCCAGCAGGCTGCTTTGTTCTGGAGAGAACTCTGAGGTTGTAGATCGGGCTTGCATGGTTTAGGAGCGTCTCCTTAGGCCAAGAGAAGGGTGACCACAGTGCTTTCCTTTGTGCTTTGCATATCGGCAAAGTTCGGAACAGCAGCACAAACTGCACAGCAGGATTTTTAAAACTTGAGTGGTGTTTTTGAGATCCAACTGCATCTCGTGTTAGGCAAACACATGCAATCTCAGAAAGGTTGAAACATTCAGATTACAAATGCAGATTCCGGAAATTGTAACCATAGGGCATTTACTGGAAAGAAGGAAGCCTTTTTGTCTTTGCAGTAAAATAAAAGGGTTGAGTCAGTTCTCAGCCGAAGAGAGGGAGATCGATGGGGCGCAGCAGAATAGAATGAATTCGGGGCTTTGGAGTTTGGACGGTGACTTCTCCAGGGTTTGGATGGTGACTTCCCTGCGTTTTTCGCTTTGTGACTTTGGGTGTTATTTTTTCTCAGTTTCCTCAGTTGTAAAATGGGAATGTTGTCATTTGCAGAGTTTAGTCTTTTAATAAACGTTTGTGGTCCTACTGTGGGTCATGCCCTGATGGACTCCAGATAACAATGTGAGTAATAATGATAGGTGGCACTTGGTGACTACTTTCTATGTGCCAAGCACTGTGTTCAGTTATTGACACTTTTTAAAAATATATATATTTTATTGATTTTTAACAGAGAGAGAAAGGGAGAGAGAGAGAGAGCTAGAAACGTCGATGAGAGAGAAACATCGACCAGCTGCCTCCTGCACACCCCCTACCGGGGATGTGCCTGCAACCAAGGTACATGCTCTTGACTGGAATCGAACCCGGGACCCTTCAGTCCGCAGACCTACGCTCTACCACTGAGCCAAACCGGCTTCAGTAGTTATTGACACTCTTAAGTCTCTGTTTGTGAGGTTGGTACTCTTATCCTCCCACCCCCCCATTTCACGTCATCGGGTTTAGGCAGTCCCTGTTCTTGTGGAGTTAATAGTCTTGTATAAGAGGAAAGACAATGCAAGAAAAGACTATTGATAGTTGGCAAGAAAAAGCTTGTGGGTATGAGAAGCACAAGCTGTGTTGCTGGACTCCATTGTTGCAGGAAAGGTGCTTAAGATGAAACGAGAGAGTTGGAGCTAGTCCCTTGCGTGAATTTGACTTTATCGTAGAGGCAGTGGAGAATCAGTGAAAGGTTTCAGAGGAGCAAAGGGACATGGCCAGGTTTCTGCGTTGGATGGGTCACCGGATGGGACTGAAAGGGAAATAGGTTTGATGGGAGCCAGAGGCTGGGAGACTAAATAGATGAGAAGCTCTTGCAGAACCCCAGGTGAGACTAATGAGGATCAGACCTTGTCTACCAGTAGAAAGGAGATAGAATACAGATAGATTTTAGTTTCTTCTGTTTTTGAGGGAAGAGGTTAGAGGGTGTAAATTGAAAAAATTAACTGAAAAAAACTTAAGGTAGTGGAAGAAAATAAAAAAAATTTAATATATGTTTTTATTGATTTGAGAGAGAGAGAGAGATAAAAACATCAATGAGAGAGAATCATTGATGGGCTGCCTCTTACATGCCCCACACTGGGGATGGAGCCTGCAACATGGACATGTGTCCTGACCGGGAATCGAACTGTAATCTTCTGGTTCATAGGTCAATGCTCAACCACTGAGTCTCGCCAGCTGGGCAAATGATACTGGTTTAGGTTAACTTCGGCATCTCTCTCTCTCTCTCTCTTTCTCTCTCTCTCTCTCTCTCTCTCTCTTTCTATTAAGTAATCATTACTTGGTATGTAGTATGTGCCTAATAGTTGTTGAGTTGATGAATAAGATTGTTTTGTTCATTTCCCCCTCAATTTTATTGAGAAATAATTGACAAACGTTACTGTAGAAATTTAAGGTGTACAGCATGATGGTGTGATTTACAAGTTTAATTTTTCAATTGCACAAGTATTGTCCAAAAAATATAATATTAAGAATGGCAAATAGAATAAGCTCAAAAAATGAAAATCACCCATAGACTCATCACTTGGAAATTACCAAATGTTTAACATTTTGAAGTCTGCAATTAATAGAACTTAATAGAACTTTAAAAAAATCAGATGATATTGTTCACACTATTTTTTTGTTTTGTTTCTCATAATATGTTTTGATCAGCTTTCCTTATCAGCAGACATTTTATACGGTCGTTTGTAATGCTGCATAGCATTCATTCCATTGTATGTTCTATAATTTATGTAACCAGGCCCTAATATCTGCTAATATTTTACAAATAGTGGGATATCAGATGACCTAGGAAAAATGAATAGGACAATATGAATAAAGAGGTTCCTAATAAAATTGCTTTCCTAAAAGAGAAACCTTTAAAGAAAGCATTTTCAAACCTTTTACATTGCTTATTCTGTTATAATTTCTGCTTTATTAGCCAGCTGCTTTTCTTCAGCAACAGGCTTTTCAGTTCATCATTGCTTAAAAAATAACAAGAACTTAGTACTGGATCTAGAATTGCTTGGAAGACACTACTTGTATAATAACCTTGAGCCATATTTCTTAATCTCTTTGATCCTCATTTTATCTTCTGTAAAGTGCAGTAATAACTTAAGTGATTGTCAAGAATTGCCTGAAAATCATGAATTATGGATCAAGAATAGACTTATTTTCTTCTTTCCTTTAGTAACTACTGTGGCTTTCTGTAATGTTGATACTGCAGGAAGGCAAGATCAACACAAAGCAATATAAATGTGGGAAGTCCGGTCAGAAAGCTGAATGGGCCTTTGATAATCACAGGGCAGAATATCTGTGCTGCTGACTCAGTGGCCGAAAGCAAACTCCCTCAACCTGATAATCTTACTGTTTACTAAACTTTGCCATTGCATCCCTAAAAGGCAATTGTGTATTCTAGTAAATAAAAAGCAGATGGGAACTTGGTCCTCGAACCAAGTTCACAACTGGTTTCCCTCATAATTTCCAAATTTCTATTTCTTGTCTTGTGTATTAATTTGCACGTCAGCCCTCTCTCCAGGTCTTTGAACCCAGGCCTTGCTGGCCGTGGCCTCACATGACACACTGTATACAGCTCATTACTGCCTCACACCCAAGCCAGTACTTAGTTTTGTAGGGGTGACAGGGGTGGCATTTTCAGGGATTGTGTTTTTAGTTTTAGAATTTTCATGTTTCATTTTTATGGTTTCTATTTTTGCCTTTTCAGTCATTGGTTATATTTTGCTTTATATCCTTAAGTGTAGTTGCAGCCATTTTGAAATTGTTTGGTAATATCCATTGATTATGCTGACTGATTTTTGGTTGTGGATGGTATGTAATAGAAGCTTTAGATTTTGTTAATTCCTCCAAAGAGTTGTTGTAAGCAGTTAATGTAATTGAACCCAAACTGCAGTTCACCTCCCTTGAGGGCAGCAACTCAGATATTGGTTCAGTTCTTTTATCAGAGCTGCTTGGAATCTGCCTCATGTGCATGGGGTCATCCACAGAATTTGGGGTTTCTCCTCTCTATTCCTTTTAGGAATTTCCCACTTTCCCATGCCTGTGATTGTCCCAAACTCACCTGTGTTTATTCATACCACTAGAGGCCTGGTGCACGAAATTCATGCGGGGAAGGGGGGGTCCTTCAGCCCAGCCTGCACCCTCTCCAATCCGGGACCCCTCGGGATGTCCAACTGCCCGATCCTAGGGATCAGGCCTAAGCCGGCAGTCAGACATCACTCTCACAATCTGGGACTACTGGCTCCTAACCACTCGCCTGCTATCTATTCAAGTACACTAGAAGTAGAACCTTTGGTGGTGGCATTTTTTTCCCCTCTAAATTTTAAGTCTTATAGAATGAAATGCTCTCATTCTATTAGAGATTTATTTTTTATATATTCCTTTTTTTAATTTACTTTCATTGTTGAAAGTATTACAGATGTCCTCCATTTTACCCCCCTCCATCTGGCCCCCACCCCAGGCCTTTATTGCACTATTGTCTGTGTCCATGGGCTACAAATATGTATATATGCATGTAAGTTCTTCAGTTAATCCCCCAGAGCACTACTGCCTTCCCCGATTCCCTCTGAGATTTGTGAATCTGTTCCATGCTTCCATGTTTCTAGACCTATTTGTTGATTTTTAAACCTGATTTTTGCAATGTCCCAAGGTTTCTCCATTTTGCCTTAAAGATTCTAAAGTTCTTAAAATTAAAAAAAGTATTTGTTATCGCTTCTCGGCCTTTTGGCTAAGATCAAGTGTAAAAAAAGTATTTGTTAGTTTTCATTTTCTTTTTCTTTTTTTTTTTTATATTTTATTGATTTTTTTTTAAATATATTTTATTGATTTTTTTTTTTTTTTTTTTTTTACAGAGAGGAAGGGAGAGTGATAGTTAGAAACATCAGATGAGAGAGAAACATCAATCAGCTGCCTCCTGCACATCTCCTACTGGGATGTGCCTGCAATCAAGGTCAATGCCCTTGACCGGAATCGAACCTGGGACCTTTCAATCCACAGGCCAATGCTGCCAAACCAGTTAGGGCTGTGTTAGTTTTCTATTGCTGATGTAACAAATTACCACAAGTTTGGTGACATAACACAAATTTACTGTCTTATAATTCTGTAGGTTAAAAGTGTGACATGGTCTAAAATCAGGGTATACTTCTTTCTGGAGACTCAGGGGAGAATTTGTTTTCCTAGCTTTTCCAGCTTCTAGAAGCTGCTCTATTTGTTGGATGATGGTCCTCTTCCATCTCCAAAGCCAGCAAAGGCCGAGGAGTTTTTCATGTCATATGTCACATCATTCTGACCCTGCTTCTGCCATTTGTCACATATCCTTTTCTGACATTGCTCCCTCTTCCAAATTTTAAGGGCCCTGATGATGATCCAGAATGATCTCCCTATTTTAAGGTGAACTGATTAGCAACCTTAATTTCATCTCTTTTGCTGTGTATATTAACATATTCACAGCTCCCCAGAATTAAGTCATGGGTGTCTTTGAGGCATTATTATTCTGCCTAACATAGCCTTAAACCATTTATTTATTTTTTTCAGCCTTAAACAATTTAGGGGAAAGAGAAAATGACAAATTTTTAAGTATTCAGTAAAGTTTAGTAGGCCATTTTTGGCGTACTACAAATTCAGATCTTTCTATTGGATATGTGAATGCAGTCTCCATTTTAAGTATATAAATAGCTGAACTTTCCTTCTCTTTAGCACTCTTTACTAAAGAGTATCAGTTCAGTACATTTGGTAATAAATTGTAGGTTCGTTTACCATGTTGGTCTGGTTTTCCATTGGGAAACATTGACTCACCGCTTTTGGAGTCAAGTCAGGAAGCATGTTATAAATCAGGAAATTTCTTTCAGTAAACATTAAGGACTATGTTCAAATACTTTTTGCTTTGCCTTGTTGGGGGAGAAGGAAAGCAACTTCATAAGTGGGATACTTTGCTAGGTGTTATCCCATTTTGTAGGTGAAAATCTGAAGATGCCCAGGCAAATGTGCCCAAAATGACATAGAATAAGCCTGAACTGGGTTTGTCTGCAAGTCTTATTTAAAAAAAATTTTTTTTTAAACCTACCTTTCTGAAATCGCTCAACTTTACTGAGGAAAGTTGGTTTTTTATAGTGAAGATTTAAATTTAATAGGTGCTATAAAGTGATTTCATGTTGCTTAGGAAAAAGAGTCTGTGGTTCAGGGGCCTTAGAGAGATAAGAGGAGGAGGTTAACCTTGGTCATGATGGATGAGGGAGGTATAGGGTTACACATAATGTTGCAGGTGCAGGTAGCTCCATGTACAAGGGCAGTGAATGTGAGAGAGCATGATACTATGGTCAAGGAATAACCTGCTATGGAAGGTGAGACTGGAATAGGTCACAGAGAAGGCCTTTGGTACGTCACATCACAGAGTTTAGATTTTATTCTGTCGGCAGTGAATGATTTTAGATTGATCCCCACCACTGCCACCTCCTTCTACTCCATCATAATTTTAGGACAAAAATCTCTGGAGATGTGGAGAAGGCTGAGATTGGAAGGCAGGAGACCAATTAGAAGGCTATTGTGGTAATGTAGGAGGGAAATGAGAAGAGTTTGAACTGGGGATAGTTGTAAGAAACATGAAGTAGTATGAAAAACAGAATTTAAAAGTTATTTAGGTAGAATGGGTAGGACTTGGTGACTGTCTAAATGAGAGAGAGTAAGTGAGAGATAAGGGATTCATGGAACGTCTTCATGATCATAGTTTAAGCCACTGTCTATAATGACTGTCTACAGTTGACATACCATAGATTAAAAGAAATATTCTGTTACATTCTTTTTTAAGTAAGGTGAGGCGTAATTTTTTAAAAGTTGTCATGAGTAGCAAATTGACATAAAAGATAGGAAACAAAATGGAATCATAATATGTCATTTCTCTCATGAAAAAGTTAATAGGTTTCCCTGGGGATCGATATAATAGGCAAACGTATTTGAAAATATCAGAGGTGAAAAGGTGCAGAACTTACCCATTTGTAGAAGTATATGACAAATCTATGAATCCTTTCTGTAGAGAAGTAGTTATTTGGAATAAAACTGCAGAAGTACATAGCTATGATGGCTAGTAAATTTAATTTTATCAGCGACAGTTAAATCACTACCTTTACTTCTATTATGTTTGCCTTGTTTGAATTGTCCAACTCTTCGCCAGTTCCATGCTTGCTAATCCAATGTTCTACCATTTGTGTTTAGAAGAACTCAGAAATCGGAGGATTTCTGAACCATGGTTGAATTGCTTTTGGGGAGAGTGAGTGTTGGGTGGGGGAGAGGTGGAGAAGGTAGAAATGATAGAAGCAACAGAGCAAAGAGAAATGAAATGCAAAGGAGAGGGGATTCAAATGGGTTTCTTCCAAAACAATTGAGTTGGTCAGTCTTTATAGCATCCATCATAAGCAGCTTTCTGCATCTTTTTATGGCTGGAGTTTCTAAACTAAATTAGTAAAGAATTTAAAAGGAGGATGCAGTTGACTCATTAATACAGAGTATATGACTCATTTGTACAGAATGGAAACATGTTTATGAATATCCACACTGAATGAATGAAAGCCTCCAACTTTATTCACACAAAAGTGAAAGGATGTAAGTTAATGGTTTATTAACTCTTCAAATGTATGCTAACAGTGTTGTAGAAAGGGTACATGACTGGGTTTGATTCTGGCTCTTCCACTAACTCTTATGTATGACCTTAGGCAAGTTAATAACCTTATCTTTGGACTTCCGCTTTTTTATACGTCTCCGAAAATAGAATGGGGAGGGTGTAGTGTAGTAGACTATAACTCTTAAGATCTTTTACTTCTGTAAGTTGATTCTGTTGTTTTTAGTTATGGATTATAAAGTATATCCATATGAAAAATTTCTTAAGGCTTGTGATTTACAAAATTTTCTTAAAATTTTAGGGAAGACATATAAGGAATTTGCATAAGACAGCTGTGCAAAATGGAGCTGGAGGAGCATTATTTGTGGTAAGTAATTACTTAGATTTCTTCATAATGAAAAAACTTGAAAATTTGGGTAACTTTGTTACAATAATTCAAAATATTTTAAATAGCCATGTCTTTGGTATATCCTGGCCATTATTTAAATATAGATAATTGAATTCACTATTTTTCAAAAGATATGTGGTTCCAGCTGACTCTCTCAAGTTTAAGTTGGTTCCAGAGCAAATCTGAGAATAAGAATTTAGATTATTATTTGGTGAAATTACTATGAATAAACCCTAACCCAATTTCACACTTTGAATTCTTAAAACTCAGTCATGTTGGTTCACTGAAGATTCTGAGGCTGCAACAACTTGGAAAATCCCAAAATAGCACTAGTTTTGAAATTTACAGATTTTAGTTATAGAGTGAATACATTGGTAGTTGGCCTTTGTAATTTTGGTTCCCAGGGTTAACTACAAGTAAAGGTCAATGAACTCCTCAGCTTAGTTGCACAATTCAGAAAATGCAAGATAATTTATCCCTCTTCTCTGGCAGAGATACAGTGTTCAGGAATTAATCTGGTGTTGTTGAAAGACAATTTACTGGACTAGTATGATTTAGAGTTAGTGGTATAGCCTTGTAAACTGAGTTATTCCCAGGCTGAATCTTAATGTTAGTTGGCCTACTATCGATAAGTACATTTCTGCTTTATATTTTATCATCTTTGTCTAAAGACATATCAAATATGCCATGTGTTTGAGATCTTTATTCATAGTTTTCATTTTTTTCTTGTGTATCTTTGAAAAAGAACTAGAGTTAATATATTAAGAGATTCAGTTCTTGTT